TTGAAGGACATTGAAAGTAGTGGGATATTATATTTAAATATTTATTTCAATTTATTTCCAGTTCGTTCGTAATTAATCGAGTAACCTACAAAATCAAAATTTTCAGCCATATCATTTCCTTTTTCAACTAACTTTCACTGTCAGTGAAATATTCCAAGTACATATTTGAAATATACAAGATATTTCATTTTATTTATACGTTTAATGTTATTAAAATCGAGAGCTTCTATTTGCCGAAATTTCACTTCTCATCTAAAATAGCATTTTATCTGAACTGTACCTAATCTATTATCCAAAATAGTATTTCAAAGATTGTTGTCTAAATTTTATCCAGCTCTGCGATTGACCAATACTTCAAATGTTGCACTTCTAATAGAATAACAATTATTTCCATTACTCGTGTAAAGATAAGCTATTACGTGATCGCTGACCTCGCGACAAGATTCACGAACACCTTTTTTCCCTTCAATTTTTTCTCTTTGTTTCACGGAAAACTCGAAGGCTGCGTACACGATAGCATGAAATAATTCGCGGCAATTAGTCGTTCGTGTACGTGTCGTTCAAGGATCCAGGAAATCAAAATTTTTTTAATATCATCGTGTATAACAAGATTTTAATACTCTCCTTTATCTTTAAAAAACGTGACCCTTGCACAGAAATTGGGTCAATTTGACCGAAAACCAAGTCGAACATTCTTTTTCCTCTGTTATTAAACGTATCATTTAGACCATGAAACTTTTCCATATCCCTTAACCCTTTCGCTACAGCAGATTTTTATGCTCAACGTGGATGATTGACGATAATTCTGTAGTGTCGGGGCCTCCATACCCAAAAATAGGAAATCGACACGGGGGAATAGGAGAGGGAGTGGTTGGCGTAGCGCGCAAAGCCTCGGCTTGCTAAAAGCCGAAGGTCCCGGGTTCGATTCCCGTTTTGAGTCCCTTAATACTTTTCCGTCGGTTCCTACAAATGGGGGCTCGTCCGGGATGGAGGCATCTACGGCTACACGAAGCCAGGAGGAGTTGGGCGCTGAAAACATGTCGAGGGTTTGCACGTCTCCCAAATTGCGTCGTTGTTTCGGCTGTGTGCCACTGTGTGGGGGAGTGTACCCGAAAGTTGTTGAGGTGCTGAACTTTAGGACATTTCGAGGGCGAATGTCAGTTTAGGATAGGAAACCGACCCAAAAACCCAAAAATAAGAAACCGACACGGGGGAATAGGAGAGGAGGGAGTGGTTGGTGTAGCGCGCAAAGCCTCGGCTTGTGCTAAGCCGAAGGTCCCCGGGTTCCAAAATTTGTTACTTTGACGTAAGGAAGTGCGAGTGCGTAAAGGATAAAATTAAGTAGATATTAAATTAAGATATAAGTGAGCCAAAAGCCTCCAAAAGTATAATGTGAGCAAATTTTCAAAACGCCTATAGGCGCCAATAGTAACGAAAGGGTTAAATATCTAATAAACATTAATAATCTTTACAAAAAAGAATAAAATTTCTACGAGTTTTTTAATGGAAACCAATCGTATTTTTCATGCACGATATATCAGTGACTCAGAAGCCAAAGTGACTATCTCCATAAAATGGAATTTATTACATTTTTTTATTTATTTATGAAGAATTAAGCACCGAGCATGCGTTCTGATACTAAAATTGGAAGAATTTCAAAAACTGGAGTTAATCATTTTACCTTCGAAGTGGCTAATATGTAGCAAGTGGTTTTGCTGATCTTTTGTTATGCTTCTTCAGCTGCGTACTCTTTTGTCATCGAACGCTATATGCACTTTTTTCCGTAATACAACCATCATGAGTTCAGTTGGAGTTTTCGAAAAATTGGTGCAACACGTTATTCACGTGCCAATAAACAGTTTGCATTTGTAACATCTATTTTTATTTCTAATAGTACTTGTAATTCGTTAAATAACAAAATTTATAATATTTTTGACGATGTGACCGATGTAGAAGAAGATTATGTGACAGAAACAGAAGTAGGTGAAGAAAGCTCAGATTTCGAAGGAAGTTGGGACAGACTTCCTTTAGATGAACGCATAGGAATTGAACGTAACAATTCTAGATATTATAAATCAATAGACAACTCTATATTATGGCGTTCTTATGAAATACCTCGAAGTGGCCAAACGTGAGAAAAAAGAAAAATTTGATC